ATTGCTTGGAATGGATCAAATCATCAAATCAGGTCTTTCTTTTTTGGTCACTCATTCAGTAATTAGGCCAGAGTTCATCAGCTCAAGAGGAAACACAGATAAGAAATGTTTGGGAAAGAATTTTTATTGCTCCCAAGATTTAATATTCAGACATTATAGACTTGAGTAAATTATAATTGTGTTTCTAACTCTACATTTAATAAATGGACCATGGAAAAGGAAAGGAAAAAAAAAAGATCTGTGAGCAGTGGGAGGAAAAAACAGGAAATGAGGCCATGAATCAAATGTGGACTTGGAGATGACAGTCGGGCTGGCTACAAATCCCACAGCTCACTTGCTGCTGATGGGAACCACACCAGTCAGATAAAAGGATATCAACATAAATTATCACAGATTAATGTGACATTATGTTAATATATCACACTTTGAAGTCCATAGGTAAATCCGAGGGTCCTGCATGTAACACACTGAGTACTGAACTCACTTTTTCTTTTTATTTTTTTGGTCAGAAAAAGAAAAATTCATCGTTGATCAGAGTGTGAACCTGCCAGGAAATGCAACTTGTGCCAACAGCACCAGGGTTTGGCACAGCAGGGGTGGGTGCCAAGGTCCTGCACAAGGGTCAGGGCGACCCCAGCACAAATCCAGGGGGGAGAATGGGAGGAGAGTCCTGGGAGAAGGATTTGGGGGTGTTGGTGAGTGAGAACTGGACATGCCCTGCTGGGCACTGAGAGCCAGAACCCCCCGTGGGCAGCAGGAGGTGGGGGGGGGGTTCTGCCCCTCTGCCCTTCTCAGGTGAGACCCCACCTGCAGAGCTGGGGACAACAGCAGGAGAACGTGGAGCTGCTGGAGCAAATCCAGAGGAATCCATGGAGCTGCTCCAGGGCTGGGAGAGCTGGGGGTGCTCACCTGGAGAGGAGAAGGATCCAGGGAGAGCTTCCAGAACGTTCCAGGGCTTGGAGGGGCTCCAGGAGAGCTGGAGAGGGACTGGGGACAAGGGACAGAGGGACAGGACACAGGGAATGGCTTCCAGTGCCAGAGGACAGGGATAGATGGGATCTTGGGAATGAGGAATTGCTGGCTGGGCTGGAATTGCCAGAGCAGCTGTGGCTGCCCCTGGATCCCTGGAATGTCCAAGGCCAGGCTGGACATTGGGGATTGGAGCACCCTGGGGCAGTGGGAGGTGTCCCTGCCATGGCAGGGGTGGCACTGGATGGACTTGAAGGCTCCTTCCAACCCAAACCATTCCTGATTGTCTGCACGTGCTGAAGAAATTCCATGATTTCCTCGTGGAATCCCATTTCCAGCAGAAGGCTCTGTGTTCCACGCCACAGGAAAGATCCACTCCCACCCTGTGAGACCTTGCAGACCTCACTGCAGCACTCCGTGCCCGCTGAGGAGGAGCCCAGCAACGATCCCAACATTTCCACACCGAACATTTCCATGGAGCAGACGACCACCAAGGGACACCTGGCAAAGTCACACGGTGCAACAGCGTGACAGTGACTGAGCAGGACAAAACCTGACAGCAGGAGTGCAATGAGCCGTTAGCACCTCACCTATCCAGGCTTTCCACGGCATTTTAAAATTCCTGACACAAGAGCCTGAATTTTAATAGTTATTTGTTCCTGGGCTCGTTAGGGTTTATTTGGGAATGCCTGGCAAGGCTGTCCTTCAGTACTGGTTGAGTTGGTCAGAAAAATTGAGTATTGAGTGGTAGAAGAAATATTTCTGCCACGGTGGAATATGTTCAGACAAGGACAAACAGGACTGGGAAAAGAGTGTTGGGTTTTAACAAAGAAACAGGCATTTATAACCTGGCCATAAAAATGGAAAATGTGGAAAAGCATATGGCAGCACAAAGAGTGAAAGCTTTTAACTTAAAAATAAAATAATAATAACAATAACAATAATAACTTAACCATTGTTTTGGGCACTGGTGAGACTCCACTTTGATTCCTGTGTTCAGTTTTGGGACCCTCATGACAAGAAGGACATGGAGGGGCTGGAGAGTGTCCAGAGAAGGGAATGGAGCTGGGAAGGGTCTGGAGAACCAGGAATGGCTGGGGGAGCTGGGAAGGGGCTGAGCCTGGAGAAAAGGGGGATCAGGGGGGACCTTGTGGCTCTGCACAACTCCCTGACAGGAGGGGACAGCCGGGGGGGATTTGGGATCTGGGAACAGGGACAGGAGGAGAGGGAACGGCCTCAGGGTGGGCCAGGGGAGGTTTAGATTGGATTTTAGGAAAATTCCTTCCCAAAGGGGTTGTTCAGCCCTGGCACAGCTGTCCAGGGCAGGGGTGGATTTCTCATCCCTGCAGGGATTTAAAGCCATGGGGATGTGGGGACATGGGGCACTGATGGCCTTGGCAGTGCTGGCAATGGTCAGACTTTATCTTAAAGGGCTTTTCCCAACTTTCCTGTGATTCTCTGATTTGAGGTTCCTGCTTGTTTTCCAGATTCTCAATTAAATACCTGGAGTTTACCAGTTTGAGATGGATTTTCTGCTTACACGTGTCTGAAGTGGGTTCAGATCAATCAACATCAGAAGCAATTAATAAATGCATATTGATTGCTACACTTTTATTTGCCATTCTGATTTTCTGTTGTCTTTTTCCCCTGGTAGAAATGCACTCTGTACTAACCACTGAAGGGAACTCCTACAGTCCCACAATTACACTACTCTTTAAAATGAGCACATTATTTATGTGAATATATAAAATGTTCCACTTTTACACAGCACAACTTCCCTCTCTATTTGCAAATTGCTCCTGAGAGTTGTGAGCTGGGCACGAGTTTATTTGCCAGCAGTTAACAAATGCTTTTTGGACTGCAGATTTGTTGTAGCTTTTTCCAACATTAATTTCTAATTTTTTTTCCCCCCATCTAGCAATACCCTCAAAAGAACTCTCCAATAGGTCTGACAGTCCACAGAGAGAAGCTCCTGACATATAGATAGCTCTGGCCTGCAGCAAAGAGTCTTTCATTTCCACCTATTATAGGGGAGCCATAAATTCTGGGGTACCTCAGTCCTGCTCTTTCCACCACCACTGAACTTCCCAGACACAGCAAAATGACCCAAAGCTATTTTGAGATTTAATTCTGCCCATTTGTCCTTTTTCTTCCCCCCCCCGCTGAAAACTCTGCATATGTTCTGTAATTTTCAGCCATAGAAAACAATCATAAAAAGCCTCTGGTAGGAAAGAGCTGTTGTTAAAACCTTAATTCCTAAATATAAATCTTTCTGTTCAGCGAGGCGAGGGTTGTGTCTGGACTCTGCCCAATATATTGGGAAGAGCTGCTTCTGATTTGGAGCTGAGCATTTCCACAAGTTCCATCACTCACTGAATAAACACAATTCGACCCTTTAAAAACATTCCCAGAGGAGAAAAAGAAAGAAAACTCAACGCTATCAGTTTGGTGGTGCTCAGAATGAAGACAGAGAGATCCACATTTATTCCCTGAAAAAAAAAACCTCACAGTTCCAGGGATGGTTAAGAATGGTGAATTCTTAACAGTGTCCTCTTGTAAAAAATGGTTTAACATCTATAAAAGCAGCCCATAAACATCACGTCACACGCCTCAGGAGAACAGCTTCATGTCCTTGAAATATTCCCCAGCAATTTTTATTTGGTAGCAAAGTGGCCATCAGCCAAGGCTCCAGCAATATCTTAAGCCCCAAGGAAAGCAGCCACTGCTGCAATGTTGGCTGACAGACACTTTATATCCAAATAAAAATGGTTTGAAAATGTAGCAAGGATGCAGGAGCAGCTCTGTTGATACTGGTGGTCTGGAGGCAGAGAAATGAGAGGTGTCAGCTCACACAGGCTGAAAAAAGGGATTGTTGTGGGATTGTTCTGCAAAAACCACCTTGGGACAAAAGGGAGGGCAAGGTTTTGGTACCACTTTGGTACAAATAAGCTTTCCCTCCTCGAGCCAAGAAATTAAAGACTTGGAAGGGGAAAAGAACCAAAGAGAAAGTTTCCCAAGTATTATTGTTGTTGTTATTTGCTAGCATTTGATCCAGCAGAATTTTTAGGACTTCAGGAGGTAAAAGAAGAGGTGCTCAGAATGGCCAGATCCAGGTGCAGTTTATCTCGTAGGCTGAAAAGACAATTCGTTAAAATCATTATTAATCTATTGGAAAGAAAATTACATGCTGGAAGGAACTGTGCTAATGGGAATTTCATGTGGAAAAGGGGATGAGGCACCAGCTCAGGCCCTGGGGCACTCACCCCACCCCACACCAGGGAATCACGGAATTGTTCAGGTTGGAGAAGCCCTCTCAGGCCATCGAGTCCAAGCATTCCCACCACTGCCAGGGCCACCACAGACCCTGTCCCCAAGTGCCACCTCCACATGGCTTTAAATCCCTCCAGGAATGGGGACTCCACCCCTGCCTTGGGCAGCCCATTCCAACGCTTTAGAACCCTTTCCAGGAAGGAATTTTCCCAAAATCCACTCTGAGCCTCCCCATGCCCAGCCTGAGGCCGTTCCCTCTCCTCCTGTCCCTGTTCCCAGATCCCAAATCCCCCCGGCTGTCCCTTCCTGTCAGGGAGTTGTGCAGAGCCACAAGGTCCCCCCTGAGCCTCCTTTTCTCCAGGCTGAGCCCCTTTCCCAGCTCCCTCAGCTGTTCCTCAGAGGATTTTCAGCACCCCGGAGATGCTGGCAGGTGTTCGGGTACCCCCACAGAGTCAGGGTTGGACATGACTACATTACCCAGTATGCACCGCTCGGGTGGGCACTCCCGCCCTTTTCCTCCCTCCGCGGAGCATCACGGGACTTGTAGTCCTCGCGCCCCTCGTGAAGTTCGTCCCGAAAAAGTTCCCGCACCTTTCCGGGTACCTGTCGCTCCCCAACGGGGGGGCGGCGCCGTTTCCATGGCGACGCGCCGGCTCAGCCAATAGAGAGCGGCGTTCTACGGGCGGGGGCGCTCGGCGGACCAATGAGGAGCGGCGTTGCTGCGGGGCGCGCTGGCAGCGCGCTCGCCGAGTCTCCTTGGGGCCGTCCGTGTGTCCGCGGGCCGAGATGGGCGGCGGCGGCAGCACCCGGCGCGTCACCTTCGAGGCGGACGAGAATGAGAACATCACCGTGGTCAAGGGCGTGCGGGTGAGCGCGGGGCCGGCCCGGGGCTCGCCGGAGCGCTGCGGGCTTGGCCTGGCCCCGGCTTCCCTTCCCATTCTGCCCTTCCCCCGCGTCCCTGTCGCTGCCCCTGTCCCCGCTCCTGTCGCGCTTCCCTCCCCGTCCCGCAGTGATTTCCTCTCTCTCCAGCCCAGTGGGGACACGGAGCCGTGTGCCCCGCGTGGTGACCCGTCCTAGGGGAAATGTGGGACTGCAGGAGCTGGGTTTGTCTTTCCCTGACCTCCACACTCCGCAGCTCCTCCCTTTGCCATGTGCTGCTCCCCTGCACGCTGCGCATCCAACTTCCTGTGCCGAGCCGTGCCCGACTCTGTTCCTCATCGGTCACAGCGAGATTTGGGTTGGAAGGGACATTAAAGAACATCCAGTGCCACCTCTGCCATGGGCAGGGACACCTTCCTGTGTCCCAGGGTGCTCCAGCCCCGTCCAGCGTGGTTTTGGACGCTGCCGGAGATGGGGCAGTTCCAGGGCAGAACTGTCTGTAATATTCCACAGTAGAACTTATTACACAGGCAGCTTCAGGAATTCTTGCTGCTTAGGAATTTTTTCCATGCCAGGCACTGTGTAGCTCATACCAGGAGTGATAATAACTGTATTGCTGCTTTTAGGGAAGAGAGGTGCAAGAGGAGCCCTGAGAGTTTGTTTCAGCAAACAGATCTTTTCCATTTCTGGTCATTTAATGCTTTTGAGTATATAGATGACAGTGATATAAATGTAATTTAATTTATATATTATATAAATTTGTATTTTAAAATTATTTAAATGGAGTTCATGTGCTCTGAAACATGGCATAGGATGCCCAGAGCAGCTGTGGCTGCCCCTGGATCCCTGCAAGTGTTCAAGGCCAGGTTTGACAGGGCTTGGAGCAGCCTGGGATGGTGGAAAGTGTCCCTGTCCATGGCAGGGATGGAATTAAAAGCTCTTTAAGGTCTCTTCCAATTGAAATAATTCTGTGATTTGGTGACAGGAGTTGGAAACCAGAAGTTCTTATGCTAATAATTTGCCTTTTGTTAATTTTATCTGTCGGCTTCCATAGATCTGTAACTGGAGGCTGCTCTTACTCTGCTGGATTCTGCAGAATTTGAGTCTTTTTCTGTGTGCTTCTGTCAACATTGGAATGAGCTTTGTGTTCACTGTGATCACTTTGTTTTGCACAAGTCCTTGGAGGGCTTTCCCAGGATTAAATTCTTCCTGGGTTGAGTGCTCTGCACCTCAGAAAGGCAAATTAAATCACTGAGAAAGACAAAAATGCCGATTAATTACCAGCAACACATCCAAAGGTGTTATTTCCTTTACTCTTCCCTGTGTCCTCTGTCACAGCCAAAATCATCTCGTTCTGTTTAATTGTTCAGCACTCACCTCACAAATAAAGGGATTGTTGGGGATTGTCATGTCCTTTAGAGAGACTCCAGGCTCTGTTTTTATAAAGTTTTACTCCATTTGGAGGGGAAATGGGGGATAAAGAAGGAGCTAAAGTGGGACCCTGTTGTGTTTTGCAGTTGTCCGACAGCGTCATCGATCGGATGAAGGAACCCAGTGGGAGACAGCACCGAGGATCAGGTGCAGGTTTGCTCCTGGTTTTCAGCTTTTCATGTGATAAAAGAAATCAGATGTGCCCTTCAGAGCATCATAATGAACTCATTGCCCTTTTGCAGAGATGAGTTTTTTTGACATTAACTTTTTTGGCTCATCTTTAGCTTGTTGCCTTCTAGAGGAGTTTTGTTTCCTCTTTTTCTTCTGGCTGACATTCAAATGTAAAACACAAATTAGACTTGGCTTTCCACACTGTTAAAGACTTAAAAAACTCCCAAACACCCCAGAACGAGCAAATATCCAAATATGTCTTGAGTTCTGAAGGGAAAAATCTCGGTCCTTTAATCAAAACTGATTTTTAGTCCGGGAATGTTCTGCTGAAAGACACTTAAGCAAACATTAAGAGGAAGATGTGCTCTTTTCCTACCCTGGAACGGTGGAAATAAGTAATGTACAGCTCACACAGATCAATGGCTTTCTTAACTTTTTATATTTCATTACTGAGGGCTGTTGAAATGCATCAAACCTCGTGCCAGGAATGCTCTGCTCTAATTTAAAATCCTTCAGCACAGCGAGCACGACGCAGCTGCTGCAGGAGTGAGGAGCAGGGGCAGAGACTGGAACAGGTGATTTGGGAACTCCCTGGAACCTGCAAAGTTCAAGTGAGGCTCTTCTCAGTGCTCCAGAAATGAGCAGCAGAATTCCAGTGCTTACAGGAAATCCCAACAAACTCAGCACTGATTGAACACCAGTCCTGTGGCAGCCTTGCAGCAAGACATGAGTAAACAGAATTTAGCATCTTTCTTTTCTTCTGGAGCATGAATTTGGTTTCCTGTTAATTGGAGGGGTTCTATCCCAGAATCCCAGAGTTGTTTGGGTTGGAAAGAACTTAAAAAATCCCTTAATTCCAACCCCCTGCAATGGGAACCATGGACTGGGAATCTTCTTTCTTAATTTTTTAAATTGTAGCTTTTTCATTGTGTCCCTGCATTTCACTGTTGTGAAGAAATAATTGCAGATAAAGGATTTTTATGGAACAACACTTGCATGTCTTCCCTGCTTTCCCTGTGATGTTTGCTGTTCATCCTTAAATGTGAATTATGGGAATGGTCTTGTGAGCAAGCTCCTGGGATTTTGGGGTGTGGGAGGGCTGTAACACCCCAGGAATTCTCTGCTGAATTCACATTGTTGCATGTCTTGAGCTTTCATTTTTATTTCTCTTTGTATGTGGGAAATAGTGCTTTTTAATTTTTTTTTTTTGTTGGTTAGTTGGTGGGTTTTTTTTGTTTATTAAGAGTTTTTCTTTTTGTTGAAAGACCTGTAGTAAGTCCAGAGTCCATCAGGAGATGGAAAACCTCTGCTGTGAGGAAAGGCTGGGACAATTGGGATTCTTCAGCCTGGAGAAGTTTGGGGTGACCTCATTGTGGCCTGAAGAAAGATGGGGAGGGACTGGGGACAAGGCATGGAGGGACAGGACACTGTCAGGCAGGGATGGATGGGATCTTGGAAATTAGGAATTCCTGGCTGGGCTGGAATTCCCAGAAAAGCTGTGGCTGCCCCTGGATCCCTGGAATGTCCAAGGCCAGGCTGGACATTGGGTTTGGAGCACCCTGAGGTACTGGAAGGTGTCCCTGCCATGGCAGGGATGGAATTAAAAATTCTTTAAGGTCCTCTCCAACCCCAACCATTCCAGGATTCTATGAATTGTTCAACCTTCTCAAGCTTGAAAAACTTTAAGAGTATTTTTCCTTTAAGAACTTGGGATTTTGGTCAAGTGCTGCTGTATCCCAGCCAAATAACACTTTACAGAAATAAGAAAAGATGTCTAGAGGGAGAAACATTAGAGCTCTTTAAACCCAACCCTTCCTTCCAGGCAAGCTTCTGATGGCTTTTGGTGGAGGAATAATGGATTAAGTTACATGAAAGAATGTGTCTTGTTGCTTGCCAATAATGATGAATTTATTGACTTCAGTTTGGGGTCAGAAAATGAAATTACATCCACTTACAATGAAATCTGACATCTAAAGACAGTGTCTGAAAGCATCTCAGTTTGCTTGGCTCACTTGCTGGCTTCTGACTAATATTAAATGCACTAAAATATTTAACAAGTGTAAAATCTTTCAAGTCTGTCTGTAATTCCTAAAGCAATATTGATGGAAAATAATTTGGTCAGATGAGGTTTTTTTTTTTTTTTTCCTGGGTGTGTATTATACCTAAAGCTTCAGACAGAAGGAATGGTTTAATTCATTTTAGCTTAGTGGATATTGGAAAATCTAATAGTTTATTAGGGAGAAAATAGAAGAATAAATGCTTAAATTATTAAGAGTATCAGTATCTCAGACAGTAATTTTTTGTGCTTTGCAGAAACAGATTCTATTAAGGGCACAGAGGGTTTTTCTCCTTTTTAAAACTGAATTTATTATTCTCATTAAATAAATCAGCCAAGGCCCCCTCTCACAAAATTTTGTGTAGGGGTGGAGTAAATGAGCCCTGCTGGTGCCTCCTCAGGAGCTGGCTCACACCTTGCTTGTTTTCATGGATTAATTTTTGTGGATTGGGGTCTTTTTTTGTGTTGCTGTCTGGTTCTGGGTGGAGTTTCAGTGGCTTGTGTCAGTCAGAAACATGTAAAGATGTTATTGGGATGTTCAGAAATGAGGATTTCAAGGTTTGGGTTCTAATTAGAGGCAAACCCAGGATTTAACTGAGCTTTAGGGGAACAAACTTCACTTTTTGGTTGTGGGGTCACATAGGAGAAAGCTCTCAGGGAATATTTGGGGAAGGTGGGAGATCCTTAAGGACATCCCATTCCTGGGGCATGGAAGCACATTCCAGTACTCAGGAAAATTAGGATTATTAATCTTTTTAATTTAATGTTTTGGAAGAGTTGCAGCATGTCCTGATGATATTGGTAATTATGGATAACTGGACACTGCATGAAAAACTGAATTTAAAACTGGGATGTCTCAGGAGAAATGAGAGGGAGGCTCTGCAGTATTGCTTGTGAGAATTATTTTGTGTTTTCAGTTTTTGTGAGCACCTGGAAGTTGAGAGAGTTGGGCTGAATTTTCTGCCAGTTAAGCAAGAATCCTCTGCAAATAAACCCTGGCAGTTCTTTGCCCTTTCATGTATTAATTGCTTCCATCCACCTTTTTGTTCCAACAGCACTTTGCATGAACTGAAAGATGAAATAAAATGACATTTGTGATGTTACTTTCTAGAATTCCTCTTATTTTTAGAAAAGGAAAAAACAAAGGTTTGGCAGTGCCTGAGTTGATTCCCTTTGCTGTGATACACCTGGAAAGCTCAGGAAGTTCCTGATGTGGATTTTCCACCTTCCTTCCTGCAGCAGGAGCCAGGAGAGCTTGGGTTTTGCATTTGTGTTTATTTGCCCTTCTCTATTTACAGCTCTGGGAATTCTTTCTAAAAAGAGTTTTAAACTTATGCTGGAAACCTGAAATAAATCAAATAGGACCTGGCTGTGGATCACTGATAGCCTGAAAGGCCATGATTTTTTTTTAATAAATTAACATTATTATTATTAATAATAATAATAATATTTTGCTACTTTTTTTGTCACAGAGTTTCTTGGAGATGACTTTTCTTTGCAGTGATGTGCTTTGATATGCTTTGGGTTCAAGGTATTGATGGAAGTGTTTTATTATCCAAAGGTGAAACATGTTGTAACTCACCAGGCTGCTAAAGGTGTCAAAGTTTTAATGCTGGCAGTGGAACAGCAAATCCTTACTGGTGCTTGACATTCCTGTCACTGGATTGCAGGAGAAGAGGGAAGATGGAATTATGCATTAGAGTTGGAGGAAGTGCTGCAGAAAGTGAAGTTTTTGGTGTCTAGGTGATGTGCAGGGTGTTGTGTGGGTGCTTTCACATGGCTGGTGTGCTGGTTTGAGAGCAAAACCAGTGAGAGACTCCAAGTCAGTAATACAATTTAATAAGAAAAAAAAAAAAAGAAAAAAATTAAATACATGCAATAATACAAAAAAACCCCACTGACAGAGTCAGAATCCAACCTGACACCCCGTCAGTCAGTCAGGGGTTGGTGCAGTCCCATTCCATGGTGGCTGCATCCTCCTGCAGTGACAGATGTGGTTCTGCTGGAGCAGGGCTCCTGCACAAGGTGCAGTTTTCCTCCAAAGCTCCAGGGATGATGTGGAAGGCTCTGGTTTTCCTCTGG